AGGCCGACATGGAAACGCAGAAAACGATAACGGGTCCCAAGGTGGGTAGATCTGCAAACGAAATGCTCTGGGGGACCAAACGGCTCCGTGTTTACGCCTATACGCAGGGCTGCACATAACTGGTGCGCATGCGCACCCGCCGCGAACAAAGGAGCACCGGGTCATTTGAAAAAAGGCGCATTTGCGCACCAACATTGAGAGAGAGAGAGATATTTGCGAGTTGCATATGAACTGGTAAGATAGCAGGGTTTCCCACACATAGACTTTACCTGGGCGGGCCACCCAGGTATATTAACGGCCGCCAAAGTATAATTCGTAAGGTTTGATTTTTTTAATCCGTCCGCGAGCACGACGGCATCTGTCGATCCCTCGCTCTACCCCCTCGCTATCGTGTGAAGGGTCTGCTTTATGCACTCCGCACAGTAACCCTGCTGCGAGGCTCCGGTGAACAGTCCATGAGCGTGCTCACTAGCGCAACTCCCCCCCCCCGTTTATAAAGTCAAGTACCCCTCAAAAGGTCCGGTTTATTTCATTTTAAGGATGCGCACCAAGCAACATCTCCAGGTGCTCCTTTGAGAACCAGGGCAAAAAGGTTGTGTGCACCCCTGCCTATACGATCATTTCCTGATAACATTGAAGCAATAGCCCCGCCTCTCCCCACCTCTCCTGCTCAGAGATCAGCTGCTGGGCTCTCAGAAGAGGGGGAGGAAAAGAGAGGCTCCGTTTTTTATTCTTATATTATTATATAGAGTCGTTACTCATTTGTTTTAAAGCTCAATAAATAACAAAGAAGACCTTTGACCGGCACTTTTCTAATTTTGTCCGGAAGATTTCACTTTAAACTTTAATGAACATCTTGACCGTCGAAAAAAAAATCTAACTGAAACTCTGCCGCACGGTCCCCTCGGCCCTTGGCAGAGGCACTGGGAAGAGGTGGGTGTTTGTCATTTGCTGGTGGACTATCCGGAGAGATTTACAGCGCTTGCCTCAGGGAGGGAGAAAAAGAGCCAGAGCGTCCACAGCGGAGAATAAACAGAAGGGCAAACCATGGCAACCATGCACGAGAAGTCTTCTTCGCTGCTTTTGTGGCAGGACTACAGCGCCACTTACAGGTCTGGCATATATGTACTACAGCGTCTCCAGCGGTTTCGAGCGGTTTCGTGTGAACGGACACGTTTCTGGTGCCTGTTGCGTGTGGACGGAAGACTTTTTTGATAATGATTGCGGTCCGTTTGCGTTATCGTCCTTGTGTGGCCAGGGCTTTAATTCGAACTTCATTCAGGGTCTTCATTTTCAGTAGCTTTTCCTGTTGTTTTGCAGTTATCATTTCTACCAACATCCGTCCTTTGCCAGGGTTGCCAACTCTCACGCATCTGGCGTGTGACACACGCTTTCACTCTCAATCTCACGCTCTCACGCTGCCCAAACTATTCTCACGCCAAAAACAAAATGAACCGGCGATCGTTTTGGTTGGTTATTTACAATGTTGAGTTGACGCTCTGCTCAAGCTGTCGATCCGCTCCCTCCCCGCCCCCACCACTCTTATCAACGTTAACAGACAGCAGAGCAGTGGGAGCCGGTTGGTCAATCCCCGACCCGTATTGCGCATGCGCAGATCTAAGATCCAGTAGAAATGATAAAAAGTTAAAGTCTGCTGTTTATTGTTCTACTAACTAGGCCAAAATAGAGTCAAAGACTATATGAGAGTGAGAGCAGGCACGTGCACACATAGACATCAAAGTGGGCTTGAGCCCATGAATATATATCTACTGCTGTTTGCGCACAGTTTCCCTTTCCAACAATATATTGATTGAATACAAAATTAAAAGATCAGGTCAGGAGATTAGACTGTGAAGTTCCGTAGCTCTCCCTCCCTCCCTCCACGTCTCCTGCACAGCGGTGCGGACATCGGCAGTCCCTTCAGACAGACAGGTAGCAGCACCTCCCACCTTAAAGTCCCATGTTATGCCGGCTTTTCTTGGCTTGTTTGAAGGTGAGTGATGATGAACAAATGACTAAACTGCCAGTGCCTCAAGTTTACAGCTAATTAGCCAAAAGACAAAAACAAATATAGTTACTAAGGTAGGCTAATAGCTAATGTACTGTACTTAAGGGGAGACACTTAAAGTTAATACAGTAAAATGTGTATATAATAACGTCATCACAATCGCCACATTGATATGCAAATTAGGCGTTGACTAGGCCTAATTAAAATGCGCTAATTTGCATGCAGGGGCAAGGCATTGCAGGTGAAAAGGATAAAACAAAAAAACACATCACCTCACAACTTCCCCAGATACGTCAAGTCAGTATTTTCCCCTGAAATATTATGTAATGTTTAAATATGCAGATTAGCTTTAAATCTAGCCTATAGATGAATTCAGACATGGTAGTAAAATGAACACCATTTATATGTGTTTCTTGGAAGTTATATTTCCATTAGAGTGAAAGAAAACATGGAAGCAAAATAGACCAAAATAACTAGTAGGCCTACATGAAAAAATGATCTTTTTGCCTGTAATGTCCTTAAACAGTAACTTCATAATTTTGATTGTTGGCTGCTCATTTAATAACTATTAATTGTAATAGTTTGTTGTCTGCTCTTGTGCGTAGTGAATACTAAAGAAGACCATTGTCTCTGTGTTATCTGATTTTTTTGTAGAAGTCTGTTGAGTATTAAACACTTGCGTGAGAGTGAGGGTATTAAAATAAATTGGTCAGTAAGTCAGAGATGTGCAACTATATTTAACTTTTTGTTTTACATTTTTTTTCATAAATGATTATGGGAAGTGCCCTTTTTCTCACTAGAGCACCTTCCCCCCAAAATGTCTGTGTGCACGTCCCTGAGTGAGAGTGTGTTAATTCATATATTTGGCAGTTTGGAGTAAGTCTGTAGATTTGTTTGTGTGTGTGTGTGTTTCATGTATAGGCCTCTCACGATAATTAATTTTGTTGGATACATTTTCCCGGAAATTATTGCGATAAACGATAATATTGTCGGCACCGTTGTATGACCATTTTAGACCACTGACATAATGATAATATATAATAATAGTTCAAGTACATCCTTTCAAACTGCTAGTCACATCCTCATGTAAATGGGAATGTATCGAGGTCTGAAAAGTTATGGAGTTCATTTTTATTTATTGTACGATAAGTCAATTAATTGCTTATCGTGACAGGCCTATGCACACAATAAAACAGAAACAAACATGTTTGACTTTCATTAGTGAATTACACTTTGTACCCTTTACAGTAGCCTATAGTCTGTGTCCAATATTGTGTATTTGTAGTTGTAGTATTAGTCTCTCTGCGTTTCTGCGCTGGGCTAATGCTAATAATGCTAATGCGAGGATAATAAAATGGCGGCTTCACAAAACTTTTTGGGAGTTTTACGGGGCGTGGTTTGCAATCCGCCCAGCCAATCAGAAATATAGCTATTTTCTCACAAAAGAGCCGCTCGAAAGTCCCTGCTCTCTAGCAATAATATATTAAGATCTTTATAACATATTTATATTATTATTAACTTCAACCAAAGTACATTTTAATAGTGGGCACAAATGGGTTAATTGCCATGTACGTGGTGTTTGATAGTTTACGTTCAATTTCAACTATTAGGCAGAAAATCTTATATTAACATTTTTTAATAATTTATTTAGAAATGTTTTTTCCAGAAATAATTTCAAAGGGACAACTTGTAATCATTTTATATTTACATTTTAAATGTTTGCACACAACATTATTTACTTTTGAACTAATGTTGACTTTTTTATTTTTCAATTTCCTTGATGCATGAAAGATATCCAGCCTTTAGTTCAACATGAAAATGTATACAAGTAATACGAATAACATGAAAAAGTATATTTCCTATTTTAATTACACAATCAAATAATCACTTTTTCTTTGTGTTTATATGTTTTTATTACTTGTATGGCTGCAGATGGACAACAAGTTTAAAAAGCTAGCTAGGGATTGGGATTACTCTGTGTAAAAAAAATAGTGATGTACATGTAAAGTAAAGGTTGTATTTAGCGTTTTCTTGTGACAACAAATATTCTTCACTTATACTCACACTGCACATTTTACATTTATGTTCAATCTAATATTTAATATTCCATTCCTCACACACATGTATAATATCCTGCTTTATATCTTGTTTCTGTACATTTGTATTTTAACACGTCTTTTTATTACATTACATTGCATTTAGCTGACGCTTTTATCCAAAGCTTGAAGTGCATTCAACCAAGAAGATACAAACTTGAAGAAAACAGAATCATATAAGTACATCAGGTTTCATAGAGCCAAAACATTTTATGTTGCTGCAATGCACACATTTCCAAAATTGGGATCAATAAAGTACTTCTTATCTTATCTTAAAGGTGGGGTAGGTAAGTTTCAGAAACCGGCTCGAGTGCACTAAAATGTGAAAGTACACAGCCGAAAATAATCCGCCCCTTCCTTCAGACTTCCTTACAGAGCACCTCCTCCAACACACATGAACGCGCACATGACGTCAGCAGACTGGTGAAAGTGGCCGCCTGTTCCTGGCGAGTCATTAAAGTACTGCTGCAATGCACGCCCAATGAGGGCACGAGATACATTTGTGCGTGCACGAGATGATTGGTTGTACTTTTTACAGTATTACGGCTTCTACAGATGACATTTTTTATGGATTTTTTGTCAAAGCACTTCAGATATTCATTGCTATCGGGATGTTAAGAGCATTCCATGGAATATAACAAAAAGTGTATCTCGAGCCGGTTTCTGAAACTTACCTACCCCACCTTTATTATTCAATTTTTCTAAAAAGTGGGGGATGCGGTTGCTGTGAAATAGTTTTCATTTATATGTTCAATTTGATGTATTTAATATCTACATTTCAGATATTTATTTAAATAAGAAGTGACCTTTGAGAAGCAGAACAAAACATGCATTATTTTACTCTTGAACAGTGATTACCGTAAAGGCGCTATTAATCGCGCACTCAAAAATGAAGAGCTGCTGATTTGACCAAGCGAACGCGAAAGACGGCTGAGTTGACCGCAGTAGGCTATTAAAGAGCACCGACAAGTAAGTTGTGCTAGCTGACCTGGTGGTGCCTTAACTTCTACCAGTATTATTCTTACATGGTACGTGTTTCTTCAATAAGGACTGAACGCAGTTGCGGCCATAACCTTGTGCCATTGCAAGAGAAGGCTAACACAACGGTGCTAGCAGTAATGTTGTTAGCTAAAGCTAGCTAGCATGTGTTAGCCTTAGCTAGATAAATAGGTGGTCAGTGTTATTCGGCTGTAGCTCACGGTAACACATGCTTCCTTTGGTTCAGTGGAGCAACACAAACCTGTTGAGGATAAATAACAGGGTGAAACCATCCCCTAAGGTGTTTTACTGGCACTCTTTTATCAGTTGACAAGTCCAGAGAGTTTAGAACAGTCCAGACTTGACCTCCTTTGGTCAGCAGGTGCCTCTTTATTAGTGTCGCAGTGTATTACTGTTAGCTATATAACCAAAGCACATCCTATATTCCATAATTTTCAAACACAGTTATCTGAGTTCCAGAGGGGATCTCGTACTTGAGTAAAAGTAAAAATACCAGTGTTGTAATAGCCTACTCTATTACAATAAAAGTCCTGCAATCAAAACGTTACTCAAGTCGGAGTACAAAAGTATAGGTATCAAAATATACTTAAAGAAATACAAGTAAAAGTACTCATTATGAAGATTGACTCATTTCAGAATATTATTTATTATATGTTTTGGTTATTATTATTATTATTATTATTATAATAATAATAATATATTAATGTGATATCAATAACTTTATTTACTGCTGGGTGCATTTAGCCCAAGTATAACTAAGGTCTCGTTAAGTGTTGATTATATTGTTATTCATTAATCGATTCCTGCAAAGTAACTAAAGGCACTACATAAATGTAGTGGAATAGAAGTACAAAGTAACATAAATGGAAATACTAGAGTAGTCAAGTGCAGCTATCTCAAAAGTGTGCTAAAGTAGAGTATTTGACTACAATGTACCTAGTTACTTAACTGGTCAGTTCTGTATGTCAACACGGCACATTGTCTTCCATAATACTATTAATGCTATATTTAAATCTCAGGAAGCTCGCCATGTGTTAAAAAATATTATTTTGAATTAAGTGTTGTGAAACTGCAGAGATATCCCAACCTACTTTAGTAATCTGGTACACATCCTCTCTAAATATCACATGTTGATCATTTTTAAATATCTTTCAATGATAATGAAAATAATGATGCAAAAAAATATCCATCCATCATTAATGTAATCGCATAGTCAGTCAAAAATGTTTCTCCAAATCATGCAGCCTTAGTAGTTACATAACACATAACAACTAAATAACTGCAAGAGATATTCCCTATTCTAGTCTTTTTTATATTAGTGTTTTGTAATGATTTAACATATATTATAATATTAATAATTATTATTTCCCTTTTCTTTTCTCCCACATTGACATGGCGGCCACCGTATTTTTCATTTTTGAACATTACTCTCCTTTCATTGGTTATTCCCCTATTTTAGTTGACACACGTTTTTCCGTCAGTTATTTTTTTGGGTCGAGGAAATATATTTGCCCCCCAGAAAAGTGTTGATGTTTTCTCTTGACTTTTAAACAGTACGTCTGTTTTCATAGTATTTCAATGAAGTGTTTGAATTTAATATTACTGTTGTTGTCTTTCTCATTTTTGATCTAAATGTCTTCTGTTTTTGTTCCAATTAGTTTAGCATAATTTGCTTTTCTATATAGAATGAATTTAAGAATGTATTTTCTAACAGTAATAAGCCATAGCTGTGACTTCGTGTGCACTGTAGTTTCTGAGGGCTCCCTAACATCTGAAGCTGTGTGAGCAATGGCGCCATCTGCTGTCTTTGTTTTGCAGGATTCCATGAAATGTAAATCGTAGGAATATGCCCAAAGTGATCTTTTCAGATTAATTTTGTGTGATTACAAAACTCAAAAATGTATTTATTTATACTGAATATAGAGAGCTCCTGTACTTTCATACAGGTTATTGTCTTCGGTGAACATATGAGGCAGAACGTGTAGACAGGGAAAAGATCTGAAAAGAAAAACAATGAAACAATATGAAACCCACACCACGAGACAAAACATATTGAAATGTAATAAAAAGATGTACACGCAATAACAGCTAACAGTTATAGCAGAGAAATTGTCAAATACAAATTAAGATGACATTATATAGTATATTTTATTACATCACAATTAGAACAAAACACAACTGTAATACCATTTAAGAGAGTCATTTATTATAACAATAGAACACTTTTTTACACATTTATTAAAATAAAGGTAGTCATTACAACTATAAAATAACATATTACCACTTAAGAAAAGAGTACGTTAGTGTGTAATAAAATAAAATGACATTTTACCCACTTAAAATAATATTGTTATAATAAAATGCCTGGTTCAATATTAAACGTGTATACTACACATTTGGGTTATTACATTTTCATCCTTCTTTTTTGTGCAGAATGAGCGTAGCTCGACACGTCCTGAAGTACTCCAGGTTTGCATTTCATTCAACTACGCTAAACTGCAGCAGAAGCTTTTCTACTTCACAGGTAAGTCCACCTTAAAACTATGATGAACTCATTTCCAATCAGACACTAATGCAGTGGTTCTCAAACTTGTCCTCTCATTCCCCACTTTGAACAGGTGGGCCTTTTCAAGCCCCACCTGTTCCTCATCGCTCCAATCAAATGGTAGGCCAAGCTTAAAATGGTCAAATGTATCGTTCTATAGAGCCAGGAAGAAAGATAGGTCGTTCTGGCTCGGGAAACACTTAAAAATGTGGAGAAGTTGTGAACAAAAAGACAATTATGAGTATAAAAAAGAAAAAGGTTTAACAGTTT